TCTCTAAATATCTGTCATGTCAATGCTCAGTCTATTGCGGCTCATTTTGATGAATTCCTTAACTACTTCGGTAATAGTCACTATGATTTAATTTTGGTCTCAGAATCATGGCTCAAGCCGCACATTGACGACAGCGCTATTAGTATGCCAGGATTTCGTCTCTTTCGTTGTGATAGAATTGGCAAGCAAGGTGGTGGAGTTTGTATCTTCGTTCGTGACCTGATTTCTGCAAAAATTATCACTTCATCAGCTTCATCAACTTATACTCCGCATCCTGAATTCTTATTCATCGAAGTATCGAGACCTGAGTCTGCCAAGCTTTTGGTCGGTGTTGTATACAGACCACCAAAGATTGCTTTCTCTAACCATCTTGAGCATATCTTCTCTTCCGTCTGCCAAGACTACGTCTCTAAAATCATTATGGGCGATTGGAATACTGACCTATGTACCGATAACTTCGATAGAACTTACTTATTGAGACTCTTTCAAAGCTACAATTTGCATCTAGTACCGTTCTGTGCTACTCACCATACTGCAACTTCTTCTACCTGGCTAGATTTATGTGTTGTGGACTCTGCCGAAAAAATTCGGAGCCATGGTCAGTACCCTCTACTCTTTCTGTCAGCTCATGATTTAATACATATAAATTACGAATTCCGATTAGTTCGTTCTTCTGACTCTGCTTCTACTGTTAGGAGGCGGATGTGGCGTGGGTTACAAAATCCTGAGTTTCAAACGCAACTATTAAACTTAGACTGGTCCCCTTTGCTAGAGTGTCGGTCCGCTGAGTGCAAATTAGAGTATTTAAATAATCAGTTGTCTAATATTTTAAACAGATTTGCTCCTTGGCGGGAAATCAATATTAAGCGACCTCCTGCGCCCTGGTTAAATGATCAACTTCGAGACTTGATTCGGTCTCGCAATAGACTGCGAACTAAAGCTCGACGAACTCGCTCAGAAGCAGATCGTACTGCATACCGTCGATTACGTAATCAGGTAAAGGTTCTAATGTCTAAATCCAGAGCTAATTATTGTAGTTCACGTCTTGCTCAACTGAAGGACTCCAGGCAGGTATGGCAAGAGCTAAAAAAACTCGGTGTAGTATCTAGTTCTAAGAAATCATGTGCTATTACGTCGTCGCCTGACGAGCTTAATGACTTCTTCTGTTCAGCATTCAGTTCGGAATCTCCTGAGCCTCCTGAGGTATTAAGTAGGAACATGTGCTTTGATGACTCAAAGTTTTATTTCAAGCATGTCACCCCCGAGTGTCTTTTACCTCATATGAGATTCACCGACTCGCATGTTTCTGGCTCTGATAACTTCCCTGCGCTCTTCTAGAAGCACTGTGCGCTATCTCTCTTTCCAATATTATTGGATCTTTTTAACTCCTCGCTTTCTACATCTACATTTCCAATGGCTTGGAAGAGCTCTATTATTGTTCCTGTGCCGAAGAAGCCCAATCCATCAGAGTCTAATGACTTCAGGCCGATCTCGCTCCTTTGCGAATTTTCAAAGTTGCTGGAACGCATAGTTCGCAAGGACATGTTAGATTATCTCAAGCGCTGCGGGTACCTTGATCAATCACAGTTTGGTTTCATCTCAGGCGGATCTACGCAGAATGGTCTCATCAGGGTAAAAGGTGTAAAAAGAAGTAAAAGAAAGAACTGTAGTAATAAGGTCAGGTTACTCCAAACAATTTTGAAAAAATCGAAAATTTTTTTTTCTTCATAAATTGCTACAATATACTCGTAGAAATAGTATAGAATTAGTCCCGAAGGTCAACAAGACCGAAAAGCAGGTGTAAAAGAGTGGGGAGCAGTGCGCGCCAAGCGGTAAATCTGGCCGCTCGAACGCCTTCGGTAGCGTCAGCTGCTGCGTGTCTTCGGATCGTCTTATTGTGTTGTTCCCCTCTATTTCTCGAAAATATTCTGTCCTTTACAATTAGAGAGCGTCCTTCGTATATAATATACGGCAGTACAAGTGAAATTTTCATTGGTGATGGTTGTTCGCTTCAGTCCTCGCACGCGTCGGTAAATTTTTCGTTTGTGTGCTCCCAAAATTTATCATGGACAGAAAAAGAAGAAGTAATGTCCCACATAGACCGGAAAGAAGGAGTTTTTTGGGTAATCAACATACTACTGTGATCAAAAAATAGTAAGACTTTTCAATTTGAAAAGCCCGCGCTTAATCAATTTGAAAAATTGTTTTTTCTTAGGTTGATAGAACCTTAACTGACATCTGTGTTCAATTTCATAAACATAACATCATTAGTTCTTGAGTTACGCTTGTTTTTGTAAGACGCTAAAAGTTCATTCGGCGATTTTAACATGAGTGAAAAAATTCAGCAAAGAAGTTGCATTAAATTTTGTTTTAAAAACGGTTTTACGACAACCCAGACATTGGAAATGTTGGAGAAGGCCTTTGGTGTTAATACCATGTCCCGTGCCAGTGTTTTTGATTGGTATAAATTGTTCAAAGAAGGGAGAGAACGTGTTGATGATGCTGAGCGTTCTGGTCGACCTTCGACGTCTACTGATGTGAATCACGTCAAGAAAATTCAATATTTAGTGCTGGAAAATCGTCGTCTTACAATTAGAGGCCTTATAGACATGACCGACATACCATTTGGCCCCGTACAATCGATTTTGAGAGATCAATTGGGCTTCAGACGCGTCTCATCCCGTTTGGTACCAAAAACATTGAATTTCATTGAAAAAGAGCGTCGTGTTCATGTGTGCAAAGAGATGCTGTCGGACTATCAGGTGGTCATGGATTGTGTTATAACGGGAGATGAGACATGGATTTACGCATACGATCCCGAAACAGCCGACCAATCGAGCGAATATCGTGCCAAAGGTGAGCCGAGACCAAAAAAACCACGTCGAAGTCACTCAAAAATCAAAGTTTTGTTGACTGTTTTCTTCGATTGCCGAGGTATGGTCCATCATGAATTTCTTCCGCCTGGCCAAATGGTGAATAAAGAATATTATACAGGTGTCATGCGTCGTTTGAGAGAGTCTATTCGCAAGAAAAGGCCAGAATTGTGGCAGAATAACAGTTGGTATCTATACCACGAGAATGCGCCTTTTCATACGGCTCATGTACGTGACTTTTTGGCCAAAAATTCAACTCATATTGTACCGCAACCGCCCTATTCACCTGAATTGGCCCCGTCAGACTTCTGGATGTTCCCTAAACTCAAGCGGCCCCTCCGTGGCCACCGTTTTAACACGATTGATGAGATAAAAGTCGCATCGCTGAAGGAATTAAAGGCCATTCCGGAAATTGATTATAAAAATTGTTTTGATGATTGGAAAAAAAGATGGCATAAGTGTATCATTGCCGAAGGCGATTATTTTGAAGGGGATGAAATAAATTTGGAAGAATCTTAAACCGTTTTTGTTTTATTTGAAAAGTCTTACTACTTTTTGATCACAGTAGATCACTTCAAATGATGATACGGAACAAACCAGTGCTGCTGCAAAAAAACTGAAAAACGCCGATCCTCAACTTGAAGTAAAAATCCATCCGTTGATGACTTACGTGATCGTTCAGTGGTCTGTATTTGCTACATTGCAGCAGAGAGTTGTTTGTGCTAAGTGTAATGAAAAAGTGGAATTTGCAAAAAGTGACGAAAAAGGATTAGGTTTTGAATTACAAATTATCTGTAATTGTGAGGAGAGTGAACCATCCCTTCATCTCCAAAAATCAAACATGGTTATGAAATAAACCGAAGAATAGTTTATGCAATGCGCTTGTTAGGAGTTGGATTTTATGGCTTATTGAATTTTTGTGGACTGATGGATATCTCAGCAAGTGCATTAAGTGTAACTGGCTATTATAAATGCTTCGAGCATGTTCATATTGCACTGAAGGCTGTTAGTGAAATAGTTTTTAAAAAAGCTGCTAAAGAAGAGCAAGAAAAGAATAAAGAGAGATGATTACCCGAAGATAGGCTTACTGTTTCGGGCGATGGTTCCTGGCCAAAAAGAGGATTCACAGCTTTACTCGGTATTGTTAGTTTGATCGGCAAGTACACGAACAAAGTCATAGATGTTATAGTAAAATCGAAGATTTGCCAAGCATGCAGTAACTATTCAAAAAAATTCCCCGAAAATACGCCAGAGTTTGATGCTTGGTTTACCGAACATTGTGAAGCAGGCAATTGCACAAGGGATCATGATGGTAGTGCCGGTCTTATAGAAGTTGAAGGAGTTGAAGAGATGTTTCGGAGGTCTGTGGAGCAGTACGGTGTTATGTATGAATATTATATCGGCGACGGTGACTGTAAGACTTTCAAAAGACTCGAAGAATCTAAACCGTACGGCGAGGCTCTCAAAGTAAAGAAAAAGGCATGTGTTTTACACGTAGGCAAGAGTATATATAGACGTGGTAAAGAAGCCAAAAAAAACCTTGCAAAAATAAAGAGAGCTCTGAAAGCGCAAGAAAAAAAAGAGGCACTAGAAAGAGGTGAAAAAGTACCCAAAAAGAAGGCTAAAAAAAGTGAAGAACCTGTCGTAAAATCTTTACAATTCACTGAAGGGCAACTGGTAAAATTATCTAGCTATTTTAAAAAAGCTGTGCTTGCTCACCCCGATTCTGTGCCAGACATGAAGAATGCAATTCTGGCCTCATTTTATCAGAAGTGTTCCACCGATGCTAAGCCGCAACACCAGTATTGCCCAGCCGGAGCAGATTCATGGTACGCTTATCAAAAGGCAGTAGCTACAAAACAGAATTACAACCATCCTCCAGCTTTCGATCAGGAAATTCAAGCCAATATAAGCCGATATTTTACAGCCAATTTATGAAGAACTAACCGACGAAAAGTTGCTCGAGAGATGTTTAGGCGCTAACACGCAAAACGATAACGAAAGTTATAACTCGTGTGTCTGGAACATACCCCTAAACATAAGTTTGTTGCGAAAAAAACGCTTGAAATTGCTGCTCTCAGTGCTGGTTGTATTTTTAATGAAGGGCTTTTTTCCATATTAAAAGTAATGGAAGTTATGGGTGTCAGAATCGGCCCGGAAGCAAGGCACTATGCTGATAGGGCCAACAACAGGCGTGTTGATCGAGCTGAGCAAGAAGCTACTGAAGTGTCTAAGGAACACAGAACTGCTGTAAGAAATGCAAGAATTCTTCATAATGATGCTTACGAAGACCAGGAAGGAGTTGTGTATGAAGCTGGAATGGATATGTGAGTAAAATTCACTTTTTTTTACGATTTTTCACGAATAAAAACTTTAAACTGATTTTTCTCCGAACCACGTTTTTTCGCATGGATGACACTCTCATTTAAAAACTATTGCACTTATCGACATGAACTAAACGGCATTTTACTATTTAGATGTCTGGCTATGGCCTCAAGCAGAACCAGAAATATTCATTGTTATTTAAAAAAGTTATAAATAATTGAAAGTGAAAAAAAAAAGATAAAAAAATTCAAAAGTCCGCCATTTTTTTTTTTTTTTTTTGAAAATGTTTCATTCTGCTTGAGGCCATAGCCAATTCGATACAGAACATGAAATCGTTTTGTTTTTTGCTTTCAGATAATTCGTTTCCAAGAAATGATGTCATCCATCTACTAATCGGACGAGTTTCAGCAGCCATTTTTGAAGCCGCCATTTAAAAAAAAAAAGTTTCATTCTGCTTGAGGCCATAGCCAATTAACCAGAAATATTCATTGTTATTTAAAAAAGTTATAAATAATTGAAAGTGAAAAAAAAAAGATAAAAAAATTCAAAAGTCCGCCATTTTTTTTTTTTTTTTATTGAAAATGTTTCATTCTGCTTGAGGCCATAGCCAATTCGATACAGAACATGAAATCGTTTTGTTTTTTGCTTTCAGATAATTCGTTTCCAAGAAATGATGTCATCCATCTACTAATCGGACGAGTTTCAGCAGCCATTTTTGAAGCCGCCATTTTGAAAAAAAAAAAAATTTTGAAGTAGTTTAATATATGTGCTTTCATATGTTAAAAAAATTTATTACTCGACATGTTTTGTAGTATAAATAAAATTTATTGAAAAAAATCACGTTTTTTTGGAGTAACCTGGCCATAAATGAGTATTCAGAAGAAGAGGAATTTTTACATGAAAACATTGACTGTAATGACCCTTTTGCTTTATACAAACTATTCTTCACGGATTACATACTAGAGAAGATAGTTGATGAAACAAATAAATATGCTACACAAAGTATAAATAATTCTTCATCTAGCAGTAGAATGCATCAACAGGACTGGCAGTCTGTTACGAGAGATGAAATGGATACTTTTCTTGGCATATTGCTTATTATGGGTATACAGGGTGAGGCGCGAGAAACAGAACACCTAAATAACTTTATTGGATTTAAAGATATGGAGTTCGCAAATATCGGAATTTAAATGATTCGGAAGAGCGCCCATGGTTATCATAATATTTTTTTTTATTTCATTTTTTACCAGTTTTTTCAAGGTTATCAGAGTTTTTTTAAATGGAATGGCACATTTTTTCTCCTTGCATATTGTAGCCGGCATCCAAACGAATCCAACCATGTAACATTGTATGACTTTCAGATGACCTCCAACCCAGAAATATGGAATTAATACTAATTCGACATGTTAGAGATTTGGCTTTGAATTTGAAATTTGAATTTACTACTCTGTAGTTAATTTCTGAAGAAGTCGATGCACAAGCCCTGGTGATTCTTTCTTTCGTGTTCTCTGCAGTGGTTGGTCGTTTATGATAGACTTCGTCCTTCAGTTTTCCCCACAGATAGAAATCGAGGGGAGTGAGATCTGGTGATCGAATCTATCATGAACGACCAACCACTGCAGAGAACATGAAAGAAA